CTAGCAGCTTCGCTCGCTGCAATACCTGATGGAGCAAGATCGTAACAAACTATTATTACAAGCAGCAGTACTCGTACTGCGAGAAATAATTGATATATTGTTTGAAAGCGATGATGACGAATTAGAAATATTAGAAGGGATTATAAATCCAAAAAGATGTGTACCAAGAAGACGTGTACCAAGAATAGAAAATTATGTAGAAAAAATAATAGGCGCATTAACAAAGCAAGAATTCAAAGCTCATTTCAGGTATTATTGACTAATTATAATAATTTATGTCTTCACTGAAGTATAAATATATATTGCACTTAAAATATTTGAGGTTTTTTTTATACGTGTGTAATGTTTGTCACTTAGGATGTATCTTGAAACCTGCGATTATGTTTTGTCGTATATTGAGCCAAGGCTACAAAGGACAAAAAGTGGAACACCAATGATTTCTCCACGCACACAATTTCTATTGGCATTATGGAGACTAGGTACTCCAGATTCTTTTAGGTAAGTTATTGTAATTTTCTGCAATGATTATGTTTGGTAGATAAACTTTTATTTTCATTTTCATGCTGTACAGAGGATTTACTTTATTTATGTATATTTCATCATTTCTGCTTACAAAGCTCAATTTTGTGGCGTAACCATTGTCAAAAGTGCAATTTAGTACATATTATGTTTTATTTCTTTATGTTCAGGTCGATTTGTGAGCGATTCAATGTTGGCAGAAGCACTGCATTGTACATAACAAGAAGAGTTGTAAGGGCACTCGTTGAGCTAGCGCCTGTTATTATTAAGTGGCCTGCAGATGAACGTTTAAATGAAGTATGGGAAAGATTTGAAAGCACGAGTACTTTTCCGAAAGTAATTGGTGCTATAAATGGTACGCATATTAATATTCCAGCCCCAAAACACCATCCCGAAACTTACATTAATCGAAAAGGCCATCATTCAATCCAACTTCAGGTGTGTTTGCTATTTTACTCCAAATGTTTTCCATTACATTTTATGTAATGTATATTTTTTACTAATGTCTCTCTTTGTGTAGGCTATCTGTGATCACAAGTGCCGGTTTATTCATTGTTTTGTTGGACACGTTGGATCTGTCCATGATCAACGAGTATTCCGTCAGTCCGAAGTGCACAGTTACTTGGGAGATGTTACAAAATTTCCGCAAAATAGCCATTTAATTGGTGATTCAGCATATAAATTCTACGAAAATATATTGGTACCATACCGAGATAATGGTCATTTAACACAACGCCAACGAAATTACAATTTCTGTCATGCTTCAGCAAGAGTAGTTATCGAGAGAGCATTTGGACTGTTAAAAGTAAGTTTCCGAAGTCTTTTAACGGTATTTGCAATGAATCGAGTCGACCTGATTCCAACCCACATTCTTGCTTGCTGCATATTACACAATATTTGTCTAATGAGAGGTGATGACCTTAATTTTGAAATAAATGAAGATGAAGAGGAGGTAATTAATGTGGCGCATTATGATGAAAATGTTAATAATTTTGCTCATGCAGGTGTTGCAAAAAGGGATTTAATATGCGAAACCTTAAGAATTAGAGATGTATAACAGACATTTCTTGAAGGAAATTCATATATAA